CCCCGTCACTCCCCGCCGCGGGACCCTATGGCTCTAGGATCAGATCCAGACTCCTTGGCTGGCCTGTCTCCAACTGCCTCTTTGTCCCCTGCATTAGGGTACCCTCCCTGTGAGGCCTGCGCCCACCCAGCTGTTCTGGGCTCCCTCCCCGGCCTTTGCGTCTGCTATCCCCTCAGCAGAGTGCCTTTCGCCCTTGGCCCACTCCCGTGACCCCTGCTGGCTCAGTGTCACTGGCCCCCAGGAGCCCTCTGTCATCCCCCTTCCCACTTCACCCCTGCACATTCCCCTACGGCCGCACTCCCGTCCTCCGTCCCCCCCGTCCCTCCCCACCCAGGAGCCCCCAGCGAGGGTGGGCAGAATGGGGCTGCCCCGCAGGGGAAGGGGTCATGCCCGGGCATGCACGTGTCTGGGTGCCTGCTCTCCTTGCCCTCAGGCTGGGAGGCCTCCGGGGAGTGCTGAGACGCTGGAGGCCCCTCTGGATGACAGATGAAGGCTGGCTGAGACCAAGGCGTGTGCTCCGGGGGAGCCTGCGCTCCCAAGGAGCGACGTTAGAGGAGTTAGAGAAGCAGCAGCAGCGGAGGTGCCCTGTACGTGCCAGGGCCGGGTCTGCCAGACACCGAGGGTCACCTTTGTGCCCGTGCGCAAAAGCAGTGTGGCCTTGCTAGTCAGCAGGTGCCTGTCCCTGACAGCAGGCCAGGGTCTGTCTGTCTGTCTGTTCTGGGGGATGGGCCAGAGCCTTTCTTCCCTGCCGAGGACGAGGGGCAGGAGCTGTGAGTGGGCACCGCTCCTTCTTTGGGTGAGGAGCAGGCTGGCAGGCTGCGGCTGGGCTGGGGACGCCATCAGGACCCAAGCTGCTTGCAGAGGGGCGCCCCCTGGAGCCGGTGCTGCCTGGGGCGGCAGGTTGTGTCCTGCTCCAGGCGTCAGCTGGGGGGTGGCCCGGCCCGGACGGCCCCGGTGCCAAGCCGGCCTGCCCCTCGCCGTCCCTGCCTGGGCCGGTGCAGGGCGAGCTCCGCGACCTTGGATTGCGCTTGGCCCTGCGAGTCCACGAGTTGCCGAGTCCTGAGAATCCTCTCCTGTCTGCGATCTCCTTGTCGCTCACAGCACCTCCCGGAGGCGGTTGTTGTTCAGAACGCACATTTTATACACAAGGAAACAACCTCAGCCTCAGAGATTAGCTGTAGTTTCTTTTTCCTGGAGGAGGCGGCAGGGGCAGGATTTGAACTCGGGGCTTCTGCCTGCATTTTCTATCAGATGAGAGTAAATCCTCGCATCTCAGGCCCTGCTCATTTCCTGTCCATAAATGGAACTGCAGAGGAAAGAGCACCTCCGACGTTCGCCCCAGCCCTCTCATTTGGCTCTGGTCTCAGTGGGGCAGCCTTCACTCCTCTCATCCCGCAGAGGGACTGACCTGCCTCATGGTGCCCTCATCCTGTAGTGTCCTGCGGGCTTGGGGGCGGGATGGGGCCCCTGGCTGGCCGCTGACCCAAGACTGTGTATTACTGCTTCCCAAACTCTTTAGGCTGCTTGCAGCCGGGCTGGCCCGCCCAAGTTAACTCCCAGGAGCCCTTCCTAGGCGTCTGTGGCAGGCCACCTGAGGGAACACATGTTTACCACTTGCCACGGAGACCGACCATTTGGGCCTCTTTGCCTGGGTGGCGGTGAAATGGCCTGGGGCACAGCCGCTCCCCGCAGCTTGCTCGGTGATTCTAAGAGACTTGTGAAAAATGCATGAGGCCCGGCGTACACTAGATAAGCTGAAAAGCTTGGAAGAAAATTCACTTGTGGATAGTGTGTTGATTGGAAAAACTCTTTCTTTGCCCTCCCTGTCCTTGTCCCAAAAGAGATCAAGTTTAGGAATAATTCCTCTATTAATGTGGATGCTTTCATCCTGGGTCAAAAGCTTGTTGGCGCCTGCTTGTCAGATATTTTCCCTTTTCTTTTAGCTTCTTCCCCTTATGAGTTTGGCTTAAATTCCTGTCTTAATGATTCTGAGTTCCCTCTTTAAAGGTCACTGTCCTACTGCTTGGAAGTGGAACCAGACCAGCGATTACACAGACACCCTTCTTGGGGCTCGGGGCGGGGGGATTTTTGAGGGGAGGCTGTAGGAGGGCTGTGTTTTACGCGACTCGGTTGTTGGGGAGGAATTGGGCCAGCCCGTCGAAGTGACCGCCTGATCCTGCCCCCTGTTGGAAGGTGGGCGGTGAGGGGGGACGTCCTGCCCTCACCTGGGACGCGTCTAGCAAGTGGCTGTCCGTTCTGCCCTAGAACAGCCCCCAGGTGTGGCCCTGTCGTCCGCCTCCATAAGCACTGGTCCTTGCTCTTCTCCAGGTGAGACCCAAGCCAGGGACGAGCGAACCAAGACCCAGACAAACCAAACGGCCTGCCCAGGTGACCACACCTGGAGGCGACAGCAGTGGGAGGAGGCTGGTTTTCTCTGGTCTGGCCCCTTCCTCTTCTCCGCCCACCAGGCTGCTTCCAGTGTGTCGGGGGCGGGGCGGGTAGCTCAGTGCTGTTAGCGCGTAGCCCAGAGCACGACCTGGCTGGCTAGGCCGATGGATCGGTGGAGGGGAGCCTAGGCTCTGCTCAGCCTCGTGGGTGTCGCTGATGGGAAGTTTGTCTAGTGGGCGGCCTTTCAGCACGAGAACGTTAATGTGACTTCATACATACGTGTGAATCTTGGTGTCTCCGGAAGGACATGCCATGTGGCAGCGTAGGCCTGGCTCAGAGGAAGGGGATCTGGTGAAGGGATGGCGCCCACAGCGGGGAGGCGCAGGCAGTTGGGCGAGGCCCCTTGACCTGAGAGATAAACCTTCCTTAAGGACGCCTCACACACAGCTTGTCCTCATGTCCCCTATGGGTGGCAGCTGTGGGCTTGCCTGCATGGGCTGCTGGCCCGTTCTGTCAGACCAGGGCGGCGGGCCAGCCGCTGAGCTGACTTGCCAACAGTCCATCCCTGAGGGGGGGGGGGGAGGAGGAGGAGGAGGAAGGGGAGGAAGAGGAGGGGGAGGAGGAGGAGGAGGAGGAGGAAGTGCTGAAGGTGACTTCTGCCCTGCATTTAGACCTCCAGAAAGTGTTCGGGGCAGGGACCCGCTAAGGGGCGAGAGTGTAAAGCCCCAGGGAGTTCCGGGGGCTGGGGTGGGACGCGGGTCTCCCGCTGTGTGCGCAGTGACTACCCTTTAGGGACAGAGACTTTTTTTTTAAACATTCAGAGAAAAAGACACAAATGAACCCATAACCAGATCCTCTGGTATGATACACTGGGGAGCAGATTTCAGAAGAAGAGATAGAAATCTCTGGCTTTTATGTGTGAGAGCTCTTAAAAATGATTACTAGGAACCAAAATAGGTGACCGAAAAGAAGAATAATTCTAAATGGAGCTTTATTTTTGCTGATAAGGTTTACTAGACGAGTAGCAGTGAGGCTCTTGTTCCTTGCCTTGGCTGCCCTCCCGGGCTGACCGTGCAGGCTGGGGGAGGGGGGGACGGTGAACGAAGCTGGGGTGTTTGTTCCCTGGGGTGGCCCTTATAGGGTATCATGGACTGAGTGTCTTTTAAGTGATGGAAATGTTCCCTCTCACAGTGGAGGTGGCTGGAAGTCTAAACTCAAGGCATCTGCAGGGCAGGTGCCCCCTGGAGGCTCCCAGGCGCCATCCGGGCCGGACTCTCTTCTAGCTTCTGCTCATGGCCAGTAGTCCCTGCCTGTCCTGCTACATGGAAGCTACATGGCTTCCATTGCTGTCTTTATACGGCCTTCTCCCTGCGTGTCTGTGTGTCCAAGTTTTCCTTGTCTTAAAGACACCAGTCAATGGATGGGGACCCATCCTAACCCAGTATGAACTCATCTTAACTTGATTACATATCTAAAGATGTTGTTTCCAAATAAGGTCATGTTCACAGGGACCAGGTTTAGGACATGGACAGATCTGTTGGGGGGTTGGGGCTGGGGACACACTTCGACACACAGGAACAACAGCTGCTGCGTGGCCTGCCTTACACCCAGTTTTCCCCCTGAGTCCTTCTCTGGTTACTCCAGCATTCCACATTGTTAGCCTTAGAATCGCACCGCTTTGGAGCCAGAGAGGTGGTTGCATTTACTGTGCCCATCTGACAAGCCTGCCTGAGCCACCCTAATGCAACCTGGGGCTCCCGTGGTCCAGAGGGGACAGGTGGCAGGGCCAGGATCCCCGGCTTCCTTTCCTAGAAACATTTTGCTCTCTTCTCTTGTTGAATTCTGTTGTAGATAATAGTTTCTGGTTTCTCACGTGCATTAGTGTTCCTTCCCCAGGAAGACTGCGACTTCCTTAAAGACCAGTTCTGTCACGGCGCCCCCTGCTCGTGCGTGAGTCTGCCGTGGAGCTAGTAGTTATGAAGAAGCACTCCCTGGAGGGAGCGCGGGAGGGCCGGGTGGTGGCCCGTGGCAGGTGCCGCGCTGCTGCACCTTCCCGCGGACCTTCTCCCGACTCCTGGCATCTCCCGCCCCACTGGCCCTGCCGCCGCCCCCTTCCCCAGGCAGGGTGAAGTCACACGGGGGACACAGCTGGCTCCCGCTGGGGCTTTACCCAGGGGTCGAGCAAGCGGACCAGGACCTTGTTGCTCCGCCTCTCTCGGTTCTGCTTGTCTCACTTTGGGCTCCACTTTGACTCTTGGCTCCTTCAGGCCTCAGAGTAACTGCCCCCGGCTGCCCCACTGCTGCGTGCTCTTCTCAGCGAGGACAGCGCTCTTTTCCCAGGATTCTCAGCAGAAGCTCTGAACCTGACTCGGGTCTCAGGTCCTCTCCTGAGCCAGTGGCCCTGGGTGGCAGAATGCCCTGATGGGCCTAACCAAAGTCATGTGACCTGTGGGGCCGAGTGGGTAGAGGCCCCAGGCAGAAGTGAGGGCTGGGGTGGGCATGGTGGGGCCTGTGGGGTGGAGGCCTGCCCGTCGCCCGCCTCCCCGCGTCGTCGCCCGCCTCCCCGCGTCGGCCCCTCTTCTCTAACCGGAAGGGGCATGCTTTCCTTCCAGGAGTACATCGACGCCCACCCTGAGACCATCGTCCTGGACCCCCTTCCTGCCATCAGGACCCTGCTCGACCGTTCCAAGTCCTACGAGCTCATCCGGAAGATTGAGGCCTACATGAAAGGTATGGACACAAGTGGCTCTGCACCTGTGGCAGGTGGCCCACCTCGGTGGTCACCAGGCAGTCGTTGCCCGGAGCAGGAGGTGGGGGCTCTGGTCTTTTTAGGCACTTTGGGACAGGAAACAGGTGGATTCCAGGGACCACACATTCTGGGGAGTGCCCTTCCTTCCCGCTCTGTGCCCAGCAGAATTGGGAAATACGAGCCCCAGAGTGCTCTTTGGGAGGGCAGCCCCGACCACTTCAAGACAGTTTTGTTTTGTTGTCTCGAAGCCACGAAATGGCAATGTAGTGGCCCCCCAACATGGCACTTAGAAAGCAGGAGCATATGTGGAGGCGCTCAGCTCAGGGCGGGTGAGTGCGGTTACGTAACCGGGCGAAGGAGACAAACAGAAATTAAAGGGCCTTTAATCAAATGTGTGGAGATGTGTGATGTGACGGCCAGAGCTTGCGGGGTACACCGTGTTCTCGCGGCAGGAGCCCCCCCTTTGTTGCAAGAGCTTCTGCTGCCAGCTGCAGCCTCTGTCTCTGGGGGCTCATGCGCCCCACCTCCCAGGCAGGGCAGCTCCGCCTGCCTTTCCGAGGTGTTTGTTTATGTGCTTTGGAAAGATTCATGTTAACAGTAACCCCCTAGTTCCCTGGGCCTGGTTCAAACCCTCCCTGCCGAGAGCTCTGTTTAATTTTAAGGGGACGGGCTTTGCCCATGTCCCAGGGCCTCGTGGAGGTTCACCTTAGGGGCAGGAGAGGCAGCCCCTGCTCCACCTTCCAGAACACGAGCGTGGCCTGCACAGCCGCCTGTCCCCTGCAGCCCCCGTGCTCCTGGCCCCAGGAGAGCTGCCCTGATGTGGGCAGCAGCTTGGCCGGGGCATCGTTCCGTGTGGTGGTGGGGGCAGTGGGTGGCTTGGCTCACAGGGCCAATTTGGAATAATGAGAGTGGCATCTGCTGGGTATGTGCCAGGAGCCCAGCATTGGATTAAGCCTTCTCCTCATGTTCTGCCTTCCTGTGCTCATAAAGGAGGGCACAGCCTCCTCCCTGATTTCATAGGCGAGTACCGGAGGTTCAGAGAGCTTAGCAGACCTACTGACATCACACCGCTTGTAAGTGTCGGCCAACATTCAGCCAGGTCTCCAGCCCAGGCTCCCTGGCTCCTAACCCCTGAGCTGGACTTCTGTGCCCATGGCCAGAGGGCCCTGGGTCTAGGAAGCACCTGGCATAGGTGCAGCCACGGACCCAGGCTGAGAGCTGGCGCGTTCTTGTTTCCTTAAGGCACGTGCCCTGAGGAAGACCTGGGTGTGTGACCTGGCCGTGCTGCAAGGGGTCTGGAGGCCTGTTTCCTGGGAGCCTGGCATCCGTCGGGGGCAGAGCATGGGCCTGGCCAGCAGGGGGCGGGCCTGCCAGCGGCCTGTCCCTCTTGGGTCTGGTCAGTAACGAGATCAGCTCCCCTCCCCCTTGTGTTCCTTTCCTGGGTCCAGCTGGAGTCCCCGGGTGACAAGAAAGCTCTAGAGTGATGTCCCGGCTGAATGTTGGTTTTGGGACGGAAACCTGGCTCTTCCCGGGACATGCACGTGTTGGCCACCTGTTCTGTACGGAGAGACAGGAGATCGTGTGAGAAGCTGGGAGTCCTGTCGAGTGGGGGAGGTGCAGGTCACGGCCATGTCTCTGTCCTCCACACGCTCATTAGAAGAGAGATGGACCGATGGGATGAGGGGGCGCCCCCGAAGCCAGCTCTCCCGGGGCCAGGAGCACGGGTGCTGCAGGGGACAGGCCGAGGTTGTGTCTGGATCTGGGCCTTCGCGCTGTGTGGTCCGGGCCAAGTCCCTGCCGGTTTTCCGTCAGGCGCAGGCAGTAGGTGGTTCATCCACAGCAGCCGGGATTGGGATAACTGGGTTCACGTCTGACAGCCACGCAGCACCGGTCCCAGCCCACTGGGGTCGCCCGGGAATGGCAGCTGCTGTTGCTGCCCCCGCACCGTGGAAGGCGGTGAGCACCGGGACCAGGTCCTGGGGTCTGTCCTGATTTTATGGGCAGCCAGCCCGGGCTGGGAGTACAAGCGAGCGCGCGCCATCAGGGAGGAGGGCAGTGGTGGGCTGGACTGCGGGGGGCACAGGACGCGGGCCCTCCCTAGTGGGCGGGGCTGAGGGAGCGACAGCCTGGGCCCCAAGACAGGCTGAGGTGTGAGCAAAGCGGGGAGAGAGCCGAAGTGTGGGGTGCTGGTGAAGGACGTGCAGGACACGGTTGGAGTGGGGGGCTTGGACCACTTTGTGCGGTTGTGGGGGGCTTCCTGTGTGGGCAGCGAGTGAAGGCTTGCGAGCTGGTGAGTGAGCAGGTGAGAAGACACCTTAGACACAGAGCAGCTGCGGCCTGGGGGCAGGTTCCAATGCCCGTCACCTGTATCCCATTGTGAGGATGACACACGGCCAGCCACAGGCCTGAGCGGCCAGTGGCCGGCTCCCAGTGGGCAGAGAATCAGACCCCACACTGCACGGTCCAAGAAACCTCAGACCCAGATGTCCTTGGCTCAGGAGCTGCCTGCTGGGGGACCCCGCCCCCGCCCAGCAAGAGCTCCTGGACGGACCCCTAAAGATAGGCTTGGCCTGGGGCCAGCAGGAATTGTGTGGGTGGGTGGGCTGGGACCGCTGCACCCTGGATTTTCCTTATCGCGCATGCCATGCGGGGCGCGTGTTCTTCCAGGAGGGCAGGCGGTCAGAGGCTGGGACTTCCTAGAGCCTATACTTGGGGCTGCTCGCGGGAGGGCTGCTGGCTCCCACACCTCCCTTCACCCCAGAGAGGCTAGCTCCTCCCCTGTGCAGACGGACCCTCCTGTGGGGAGCACCTCCCTGGCGTCCCCCCAGCCCGCTCCGCTCTCCTGGAGGGGCGCCGCCCTGTTCAGTGTGCTGTGACTGGCCACTCACCCTTTCGAGTTCCCCAGACGCTTACAGCACTCCACGTGACCTACATTGGTGTTGGGAGCAGGGGCTTCACGGAGACCTCCAGCCCGCAGAGCTCACCCTGTCCCCTGCGGCGGGGGTGGGGCAGGGGCGGCTGTAGCCAGAGCAGAGGCTCTTCCTGGCAGAAGAGCAGGCGGGGCGGGGTTTGGGGGTGGGCGCTGTCCACGCTCAGCAGCCCGCTTTCTCCGTGCAGAGCGGCGGCCCTGGGAGGCGGTGAGGCCAGCTGCCTGGCACTCCCAGCTTCACCTGTCCGAGGATGCGGGTGACCTCGGGGTGGTCAGTGCCACCTCCTTCCATGTTTCCCGTCCCGAGTCTGGAGGGGAAGCAGGGTCTTCTCTCCGCCTCGGGCCTGTCAGTCTCAAGCCCGCCCGTTCGTTTGGTACTTAAGGTCCTGCAGCGACAGAAAGCTGACATCATGGTGGCTGCAGTGAGGTGGAACTTCCTTCTCTCTCTTAGGCGCGCTCAGAAGGAGGTCACCTGGTACCCTGTGGGGCAGCAGGGTCGGGGCTCCCTCCAGCTCACTGTGTGGGGGTGTGGCCCTCCTGGTCCCTGCTGCGGCCCAGGCGTTAGGGTAGGGAGGGGGCTAGGGAAAAGGGTGCGAAGGGGAGCGGCGCTGGCTTTCCTTAGGAACAGTCTGGAAGCTACAGGATACTCTGCTCCCACATCAGTGCTCTGCTCACACAGCGGCAAACAACACACGCTGAGCGGCAAGGCAGTGGGGGAATGTGGTCTTTATTCCGGGCAGCTGCGTGCCCGGCCGAAATTTAGGAGCTTTGTCACCATGGAAGAAGGGGGAGAATGAGCATTGGGGTCAACTAGCAGTGCACATGCCATCTTCTGATGGCTCCGTGGGTGAATGACTTGGGACGGCCGTTTCCCCTCCTGCTGGCCTGGGGATGCGGCGCGAGCCTGCGACCTCAGCAGTAAGTCCTTCCACAAAGCGGCTGACACAGCGCGAGGTCGGTAGGCTTGCAGAGGGACTCGGTGGAGAGTGCCGGCGCCCCAGGTGTCCCTGTTGACCTGCAGTGTCCCCCTACCCACAGCCAGAGGCACAGGTGGCACTGAACGCGGCTCCACGTCAGACCAAGGGCAGGAGCCTCCCAGAAGTGAAACACTGCCCGGGGTGGGGGGTGGCGCGGGACAGGGGGCGCCTTGCTGACAGGCAGGGTTGTGGGCGGACACCTACGCAGGTGTTTTCCTTCAGCAGCCCCCGCTTTGCCACACAGGCTGGGACTTTGAGATGGAAGCCCCCAAGCCCAAAGCATGGCCCTGCCACCCCACACCCAGCCATCTTAGCCAGTCTGGAGCCGTAGCTGCTGAGCCACGTGTGAGGGAACACCTGGGCTGTGACTGGACGAGGACGTCTGTCCCCCAGGCGCTGGGGGCAGCGGCTGGGGATGGGCTCAGACCGCAGGGCGGAGGGCTCAGGAGGCCCTTCGGAGCTGATGACAGCTGTGGGTGCAGGGTGCCTTTCCCGGGCTCCCTTTATCGGAGTCTCCCACACGTGTGCTCTGGGGCGACAGATGGCTGCTGGACGTCAGGCCTCCCAGGGGCGGGGGGGGGGGGAGCTCCACACGCCACAGACCGAGCGGGGCTGCCTGTGGTTTTATGGGAATTTAATCAGGGCTCATCTTGGAGGCTGGGCCGAAATGGAGTAATCTGGGCACCAAGTGAAGAGAAGGCAACATTCCTCTCGGCCTGGGAGAAATGATTCCCCACAGAGCATCTGCCACGGGAGCGGGGAGGACTGCGGGGGGCAGGGTGTGTTGAGTTGGGGGCCTTTTCACTCAGAGGTGGGGGTGGCGCTCCGGCCCCCCCCCACCCCCACCGCTGGTGAGCTGCAAGGGATTCTGGGTGGGAGAGGCGAGGGCGGGGAGCGGGGCTCGGAGCCGAGGCCTGGGTGCAGAGCCACCCATGCCCTCTGCGTTGGGTGGCCGTGCAACCCACCATTCCTCGCCTAGCCTGCTTTGTCAGCATGTGCAGGCGGGCACTGTTAGAATCACTTTCCCATATCAGCCAATTTAATCCTCACAACGACCCTGTGAGAAGGGTACGAT